TGTGTGTGCGTGCGTGCGTGTGTGTGTAAACAGGGGCACCTCGTATAACTTCCATCTGTATGCAGGCCTTGTAGAGACACCCACAGTATAGCATTTTTAACTTGATGCTAATTTCTTGGTGTTTCACTTTACCGCCAAACCGTACTACGACTACATACGAGACAAACGTATAAAGCAGCAACAACAAAAAAAAACAAGAAAAAAGATGCAGATCTTGTGCGCGATCATGTACACAGTTATATTTGAAACAAATGACTAGACACAGAAGAAACGCAGATGCCATTCAGTTTTGTGTGCACTCGACTTTATGCATGACATGCTATGAAAGTTTCCACAAAACATGCGGCAAAGGTCTCACTAAAATGGTCGCCCGTGGGCTTTGTGAGGAAAAAAAAAAGGTAAAAAGTAGAGCGTTTGTTCACATTCGGCTTGCCGGCGAACATTTCTCGCGGGCTCCACGCACACTTTGGTAGTTCGTGCAAAGCTTAGCGCATTCACAAACAAATACTCTCCTCATCTAAAATGTAAAAGAGCGAACGCGCCGTGTTAATTAGGCGCCGAGTGGCGCGAAAATTGCCGACCTCATCAACATTTGTGGCGCGCAACACTAACTCTCACTGGTCCTCGGAAAACACGCATGTATAACGGATGCGTAAGACCTAAGAATATTTCTTTGAAAACGAATGGCAATAGTGAGCCATAAATTGCGTCTAACAAATACAGCCGCTCACCCATTTTCCAGGTTGGGGGCAATTAACTAGCGCCCCTCTAACGTTCACGTGCTGCTTTGAAACATTTTGAACCACGGTCGCTGCCCTAATTTATATATGGTGGGGCATTTCAGTAGAATATGCACACAACTTGCATTCTAGTTGCGAATGCAAACTTCTTCATGATTTTAACCTAAACCTTTCTGATGAGACAAGGTATGAGCTCGAATAACTGCGCATGAAAATGTGTATACGGATGGGCCCAGCCTCGCACACAACATGCAGCAGAGGCTGGTAAGGTATAAGGAACAGCACTATAACTATCGAATGTAACATGAGAACATATTCTACTCTGACAACACAAATCCACTTATAGACAATGTGGGTGAAGGAGGAAAATCAGACATTTGTTTTACTGTTTTCGTTTCGATGAGCAGGGTATCCCGGAAGTAGATAGGGTACCAGATAGTACATCTATAAAACAAATAGTATAGTGCCATTCTATAGAAGCACTTACGCCTGCTTGCACTTATCAACTTTCACAAAACACACTGCCAGAGTCACCGAAAGGTTTCGAGTCTATAGCAACTAAGTTGCAAAAAAATAGTTTGTGCTTTCAACCTAAATACATTCATCAGCAGCCACTTCGATATTGTATACTCTCGGCTGTTAATCTGAAACTACGCTTCACCAAAAAAATTGGCAGATTACACGTACAGTGACAATCGATGATATGCGAAGCACGAATGAGAAAAGTTGATATGTCACTTTAAAATCAGCACAACGTTACGAGGTGGAGGTAAGTGATGCCGTACATGACTTCCATGTCATGATTATCATGTTTGGATATGTCGTTTACCTTCGTCATTCATTCAAGTCACGTGATACCAAATTTAGTATATGTGGAGCTAGCGAAATGGCCACGAGCACGCTATGAGTGTGGTATGTCGTCATGTTCTGACATAACAGGCGTGTCAGGATTATCATGTTTGCACCAGTCATATATTTCGTCATCCATTGACATTACGTAACACCAAATTTGGTATATGTTGAGCTAGGAAAACGGCCGCGAGCGCATCATGAAGGGCCAAATATTGACGCGCACGCACGCTGGGCACAGCGACGCTACGTTAGCAAAACGCGAGCACTCTATAGTCTGACGTCAGGCGCGACCAGCGTCCGTCAGCGCAGCCCGATGGCAGCCGGCGCGAAATGCGACAGGCTGCCTTTCGCGTCGATGCGTTGCCCAGACAACACTGCGTCTCTCTCTTCTCGTGACGGAGGGGCGCGACCAGCGTCCGTCAGCGCAGCCCGATGGCAGCCGGCGCGAAATGCGACAGGCTGCCTGCGGAGTGGTTCTTGAGAGAAAGGAAGAGAAAAGTGAGCCCCGTTATTGTCTGCTTCAGTGAGCGACACCGCCACAGAGCTCACAAAGGGATGGGGGTAAGGAGGGATAAAAGGGTAGAGGTAAAAGTATAGGAAAGAGGAAGAAGAAGCAACAACAAACTGAGGGGATAGAAGAGACAGGAAAGATGGAAAAACGGTCACTGGAGTCCGAGGACGGGGTACACTTGCGAGAGATGGTGTCGGCGTCTGTAGATGGCGTAGAGCAGGTCCAGTAGGTCAGAGCTGCGCTGTCACCGAAGACAGCCGGCGACAGGAGATGACGTAGGGCCAGCCCAGTCGGCCAGAGCTACGATGACGCCGAAGGTCGCGAGCGCGCGGAGCGCGCGGGCGCACAACCGGTCGGCACGAAATCCAGGGAGCGTCTCCAGGCTGCCTTTCGCGTCGATGCGTTGCCCAGACAACACTGCGTCTCTCTCTTCTCGTGACGGAGGGGCGCGACCAGCGTCCGTCAGCGCAGCCCGATGGCAGCCGGCGCGAAATGCGACAGGCTGCCTTTCGCGTCGATGCGTTGCCCAGACAACACTGCGTCTCTCTCTTCTCGTGACGGAGGGGCGCGACCAGCGTCCGTCAGCGCAGCCCGATGGCAGCCGGCGCGAAATGCGACAGGCTGCCTTTTGCGCCGATGCGTTGCCCAGACAACACTGCGTCTCTCTCTTCTCTTCTCGTGACGGAGGGCCACCGGACACGATGAAACGGGCATGCGTCAAAGCAACGCAGCGCGGCGCGCGTCAGCGAGTATATGGCAGGACCGGCGCCTGGCGTGGCAACGCTGCCGTGACGCGATTAAATGAACGCCGGCGAGCACGTGCACCGCGTCACATCGAAATGTATTGGCGCCTTGACGGTGGCATGTACTCATGTTCTCACATGACACGCACCTCATGATTATCACGTTTGCACCAGTCACGTACCTTCGTCATCCATTGACGTCACGTAATACCACATTTGGCATATGTGAAGCTGTCGAAACGGCCGCCAGTGCGTCATGAACATGACACGTAGTCATGTTGTTACATGACAACATGCCATGTTTATCATATTTGTACCAGTATCAGACTTTCGGCATTCAATCACGTCCCGTAATACCAAGTTTGGTATTAGGGAAGCTAGCGAAGCGGCCGCCAGCGCATCGTGAGCGTAGCATGTAGTAATGTTGTTACATGACACGAACCTCATGTTTATCATGTTTGCACCAGCCACATACCTTCGCCATCCATTCACCGTAATACCAGATTTGGTATATGTGACACTCGCGAAACGACCGCGAGCGCATCATGAGCGTGGCATGTTAGTCCAAGCTTTTACATGACACGCCATGGTCATGATTTCATGTTAAGGGTCTGTCATGTGTTGTCATGCAATCATGTCATACCATACCAGTATTGCAACATGGCATGTGAACGAAACCACCGCAAGAGCTGCAGGACCATGAAATGTGAATCATGACATACATGTCATGATTTTCATGTTAGGGTCTGTCTATGTGTGTCATGCAATCATGTCATACCATACCAGTATTGCAACATGGCATGTGACGAAACCACCGCAGAGCTGCAGACCATGAAATGTGAAGCATGACATACATGTCATGATTTTTCATGTTAGAGTCTTGTCTATTGTGGGTCATGCCAATCATGTCATACCATACCCAGTAGTGCAACATGGCATGTGAACGAAACCACCGCAAGAGCTGCAGGACCATGAACGAAATGGTAAAATCATGACATACATGTCATGATTTTCATGTCATGACTAGTCAAATACGTTTGCATACACGTCATGTTACTTCACTGCCAAGTTTGCTGTATACGATATTATCGACGAACCGGCCAGGACAGACAGACAGACAGACAGACAGACAGACAGACAGACAGAAGACAGACAGACAGACAGACAGACAGACAGACAGACAGACAGACAGACAGACAGACAGACAGACAGGACAGCAGCAGACAGACAGACAGAACAGACAGACAGACAGACAGACAGACAGACAGACAGACAGACAGACAGACAGACAGACAGACAGATAGATAGATAGATAGATAGATAGATAGACTAGATAGATAGATAGATAGATAGATAGATAGATAGATAGATAGATAGATAGATAGATAGATAGATAGATAGATAGATAGATAGATAGATACGCTCAAAGACACCAAAGTTCACTAAGAAATGCTTCGCAATTAAAACCACATCATATTCACGGACTGAATGATGATGAGTGGGGCGAAGCGTCTATCCATCCGTTCGTGCACCCGTCCGTCCGTACAACCGTGGGTCAATCTGTCCGTCCGTGCGTCTGTCTGTCTGTCTGTATGCCCATCCGTCTAGTGAACACTACAAGTGCCTTCATCTCGCATCTTTTCATCATACATTTATTATATACAAGTACCGATATCTAGCAGAAATTCCAAGAACTAAACCATCTAGCGGACATTCCAAGAAGTAAACGAGAGATGGCTACCTACTACACACATCGAGGACGCACGACCCACCGGCTAAGGAGCTTCGCCTCTTAAAGTCGTACCATACCCTGTGGCACTTACCCGCTCTGTGGCATATACCCTGTGGCACATACCCGAATACGAGCGGTGGTTACTATACAATAACGGGACGATCGGGTGACGCCATAAGGAGCTTCGCCCCTAAAAAAAGTAACTACAAAGCTTTGGAACATATATATACCGTGGGCACTCGAGCATAGACCTAGTACCGACCACACTCTGCCACTATGAATGGGGAAATGATGACCACGGATAGATAAGATAATGCGTGACGCGACCTCCTGACGCTTCATCTAGGGACCTTACATGCACAAAGGCACCGCGCTACAGTGTAATTTTATAAGTATACGCCTGCGACGACGAGCCTCCTCACCTTGTGCGAGGGTACACCCTCGATGCTGACGACGAAGCCGACGCCGCACGACTCGCGCTCCTGCTGGGGGTCGTACAGGCCCCGCGCCGGGGGAAGGCCCCCGCCCGCTGGCAATGATGTCATTCTCTCTTCTCCGGTCACTCCTGCACGCGCAGACAAGAAAAAAACGCGCGTAAGTCACTTTAAGACCTTTTTCAATCCGTTTCGTGCGCAGAGATATATACGTACACGCACGTGTGCGAAAGGGACTTTGACAGCACACGAAAGCGAATTGCACGGACGGAACATAGGTTGGCGGTAAATCAAATCTACAGGATGTTTTTGTTTATGTGATACGAGACCTAATTGCCGCTAACACCATGTACAAACAATGGAAAACAGAAACACGGACGCCGCGTTTCTTTTACACACATGCGTATCTTATTAGCAGTACTTACCTCTCAGAACAAACACAAACCAGATCCAGAACAAATTCTATGCAAACCTGTACGCTAACACTTCAACTCGCAGACGACACACGAATTTCAATCCTTTTGCATTACAATACCCATACAATACCAATACAAAAGTGCTCGTTCTTTGTAGTATGTAGTGCACCAGGAGAATGCGTCTTCACTTCAAGAGAACTTCGAACGCGTCTAGCGAGGCGCGTTTCATACGTTTCCACGGCGCCGGATGTCATACGAGGACCGCTTCCTATACATGAAGCGGTCCTCGTATGACATCCACCGTGGCGCCGTCTAGACGGGAGCTCGAAACGGCTTCTGACTATTCTTACTAAGGCCGTCGCTTCGATTGCAATTCAATCCTTGACGTTAAAGTGAAACTGCAGCGCTCGTAAACTAGTTGACCCACATATAAACGACCTTCCGAAAAAGCTTGCGCAACAGATGCTATACAAAAATGCAGACAGTGTTTGCACAGAAATGAAAAGCGGGCAGCGCCTGCGAATCCCTAGATGCGTATCGATCAGCTAAGTGCGTCGACGCCGACTTCTGCATCTAAGCGATATCTCATTATCTGCACGACATATTTATCGGCTCCAAACGCGCGAAGGTGCATGCGCCGCCTACGTGCAGCTTATGCTCGCGACAGAGCGAGCTTTACGAAGAGTAAACATCATGTTGTTGCCTGAGGCGAGGTAAGATCAGACAAAATATGTTTGTTCACCGATAAGTCACGATATTTGAATCAACGATATTTAGAACATCTATTTAGAACATGGATATTTAGAACTGGCGATATTTAGAACAAACGGATGCTACGCCCAGTCAAATAACTGTTGATGGTTCCATTGTAAATGATGCGTCGGTTGTCGCTGATCAGTTTAACAGACACTTCTGTTCCGTATTTTCTGCTCCCCAACATGAATCACCACGTGACAATCTTCTTCCAGTAATGTCTTCCGAGTTCATAACTTATGAGGGTATATTTTATTTGCTGCTTAACCTGAAAAATAAATCTTCAGCTGGTCCAAATAATATCCCTAACACATTCTTGCGTAAATATGCCGAACACGTTGCGCACATTTTAACAAACATTTTTCGCCTGTCCTTCGAAAATTCCTTCATTCCTGACGACTGGCGCATGGCACGTGTAGTACCGGTGTTTAAGAAAGGGGATCGTTTAAACAGTGCAAACTACAGGCCTATTTCCTTAACGTGTACGTCATGTAAGCTATTAGAACACATAGTCGCACATTACATCACAAAATTTCTTGAAGAAAACCGCCTGCTGTCGCCATTACAACACGGATTTAGGAAAAAATTATCGACCACAACGTAGCTATATAGTTACAACAATTCATGAGTTTACGTCGTCGCTGGATACGGGGAATCAAAGTGATGCTATTTTTTTTTTTAGATTTTAGTAAAGCCTTCGATCTTGTCACGCATAGCAAACTCATTTCTAAATTACATATTCTAGGTCTACCTGTTAACCTCATTGACTGGATCCGTTCTTACCTTCACAATCGCAAGCAGTATGTTAAAGTAAATGACTGCATGTCTGGTATTCTACCAGTACCATCCGGAGTACCTCAAGGTAGTGTTTTGGGACCTATTCTCTTTCTAGTGTATATAAATGACATTGTTAAATCAATAGACACATCGCAAGTCCACATAAAGCTTTTTGCAGATGACTGCATACTTTATAAAACGATTACTGCTCCGAATGACAAGAAATGCCTGCAATCCAACCTTTTTGCCATTTATAAGTGGTGTGAAGATTGGTCAATGAAATTAAATAGCGATAAATCAGTTGTCATGCATATAACAAATAAGAAACACCGTTTTAATTATACGTATTCTCTCAACAACTGTCCATTGACTGAGGTTAACGAATATAAATATTTGGGCGTCACAATTACAAGCCACCTAACACGGTCAAGCCACATTAATAAAACATGCTCATCTGCTTATAGAAAGCTCGGTTTTTTTGAGACACAAATTAAAAACAGCGCCCTCAGAAATCAAAATGTTGGCCTACAATGCTTTTATAAGACCAAAGTTAGATTATGCTAGTGCCGTTTGGGACCCACATATAAAGAAAGATGTTAAGAAGCTTGAGATGGTGCAGCGAAAGGCGGTTCGCTTTATCTTTAATGCCTACTCAGAAATGACTCGCGAACAACCATCATGGCCATTAATGATATCCCTACTTCACAATACCGAAGAGCTGTTGCCCGGTTGAAATTTCTACACTCACTTTATTTCCGTAAATTTGACATTTGTCCAGAAACTTATATGAGAAATAGAATCTCAAGAAAAACTCGACATACTCAAAGCTACACTTTTGAACCTTACTTTGCACGTACTAATCTTTTCATGAACTCGTTCTTTCTTCGGACGATCAATGCTTGGAACGCGTTACCTTTTGAAGCATTCTATGATAATGAAAATCCCGACTTCGATAACTATGTATCTTTCCGTCTTTAACCGTACAACTCAAGATCTTGGACTGTCTCACGTTGTATTTGATTTGCGTTCTCCGGTTGCAATTTGCAATTTCTTGCTGCCATTAACCTTGTTCAAATGTTATTCTATGTTCTACTGCCTTAATATGTTTTTATTGCTTGAACTTCTTATTTAGGTTGCATTGCGAATCACTTTTTATTATGCACCTGCTTGGTCTTTCGACCGCAGTATTCTGTAAATAAATAAGTAAATAAATAAATAAGAAACAACAAAGCGAAAAAAAAAACAACAAGGCAAGTTAGTAACACGCAGACAAAGGGACGGTAGGTCGGTTAGCTCTGGCGAACCATTTTCCGATATGCGCGCAGAAGCCTATGTGCCAATTGAGAAAAAAAAACACGTAGAAAGAAACAGCGACTCAGCACTGCATGCAACAAACGAACACAGAGCGACATCACCGAAGGGGAAGGCTATAGATCGAAGCCAGGCATAATATAGGGTAACTGTTTACGACAATGAATCCAGTGCGCACGAGTTCACGACAGATTGATATCGGAAAGGCGAACGAAAGTGGGCAGTAAAACTGAAATGTCTTCCTAAACAACTGTCTTTGTTTGATGCACAAACAAATTTTATTACGTACTAATTTACCACGTCCCAGTTGATTGTGTAAGGGAAGCATTATGGCTGGCTGTGATACATCATGTGAAGCATCAAAGACGGACTATCTAGAATGAAAGAGTTACCATACAGCACATATTAAGCCGCTTTCTTGATTTGTTCGCAAATTAATTTTGTGCACTAAATTGTGAATCAGTCCCATATAGCTTATTTTCGCACCCTGATAGCAACAGTACTATCCTAGTACGATGGCTGGTGGTGCCAACAATTCCCTGCCTCTCTTATGAGCAATGTTCGAATGAAATGGCTTATAGAGTGCCGTATTGATTGTTTTTGTATTAAATACATTTTGTGATAAAGAAATTTCAACATTCCGAGAGCATCTAGGAATCTAGGTACAACCAAGCAAGCGCCCATTACGCATTATTCATCAGCAAGTGTGCTCGGAGACACGACAGAAGCAGTACAAGAAGACGACGAAAGCGGTTCAAGAAGACGGCAATGAGAGACGAAGAGTGACACGAGACAAGTGGTGAACTGAGTTGTTTCAGCGCATGTCCCGCGTCGTTTTCTTCTCGTGTTGCATCTTTTTGCGCTAGTGATGCCACTGAGGTCTTCTGATTTGGAGCAATTTTCGGAGCAGCGAAATTTTCATTTTGGAGCACTTTAGAGCAGCGAAAGTTTCTATTTTCCAGCACATTGGAGCAGCAAAAGTTTCATTTAAGAACACTTTGGAGCAGCAAAATTTTCCATGTTGAAGAAATCTGGAGCAGCTAACTTCACATCCTAGAGGAAAGCAATGTGCATTTACAATCAAGGGCATGAATAATTATTTTGGGGTTCTTGTTCACTGTGAAGAGCTAGAAATATTTCCATTCATTTCAAATATCATGAAGGCAATTATAGGAGAACTCTTTAGTTGATAATGGAAAAATAATGGCATCATTATGCTGGCCATTCTGAAAAAACTTGTTCAGCGATTATTTTCGTAGCAAATAAACAGAATACTGGTTGAATAATATTGTACTTCATGAAATAACATTCTATACATCTATGTGGTTATCAGTATATATGGTAGACAAACGCTGCTACGTACACCATTACAGACGCACACAGTCGCAACTGCATTTCCCTCAGACGACTCTAAAGATATGGAAATGTTCTTTTTCTTCACAACGGATTATACTGCTGGGCTTAACATGACGTCATTTAGCTACTCTCATAAAGCCAGCCTCCTCCGACTGGCTTTATGCAGTGCCAGGAGACAAACGCGTCTTATTCACTCAGCGACGTGCTTTTTATGCGCTGTCGAACCAATCAGAGGGTGGCAAAAACAAAAACAAAAAGAAAGCCAAACGAAAGAGCGTGGCAAGCTGGGCGAATGTTGCAACTCGGCCAAAGCTACCCATGTCGGAAGGCGTTCAAGAGGATGACGCTTCTTGAACAACTGAAGGTAGGAACAGGTGGCCAACATTCGAGGCAAGTCTGTCCAAGCACAGCGCTGACTGCACGTTTCACACGTTCACATTGTCCTTGTGCTTGACAGGACAATGTGAACGTGTGAACGGGTGAAGACGACGGGATGCATGGCGGCACATGCGGAGACG